GTGTGTGTGTGGGGGGGGAGGGTGTGGAGAGGAAGCGCGAACTACAACTCCCAAGAGCCTCTTGGCTAGGACTCCATTTCCCAGAAAGCCTCACTCGCGGGGGGTGGAACTACTTGGGTTTTCGAAAGCGAAAGGTCGCGGGAGACGGTACTTTTTCTTCTTCTTCTTCCTTCTCGAAGTTTCTGCCTCCAGGGGTCGTTCATGAGTCAAAGAAAACCCAGCGTTTGGAAGGAGGACTGACCGCAGCGTGGCGCCTGAGGGCACAGCTGGGGCTGCAGGGGGCGAGGCGCGGGCCGTGGGGACAGGTAGGGGCTGGAGCCCACAGGGGTGACCGTCCGGCTGAGCACCCCCTTCCCCCCAAAGCCTGGATTCTGGGGGTCACCAATCCCCTTCCTAACCGCCTCCACTCCCCGTCACCCCTGACAGTGGCCTCTGTGGGGCCCGGGCCCCATTTTCACCTTTTCCTTGAAGAAAAAGCTAGTAGGCCCCCCCCTGTCCCCCCTCACCCCCCCCCCCCACACACCCCACACACACACCCCACCCCTCAACCAGGAGCAGCTGGGTGCGGTGGGGGCTCTGGAGCTTTGGGAGGAAGAGGGAGAGAAAAGAAATGGAAAGGACGAAGTAAACTAAAGAGGTTGCTTAGGACCTGTGAGGGCCGGGGAGCCCCCTGGGTCCTGCCAGGGGTGGGGTGCAGGGGTGAAGGAGCGAGGGCCTGAGGCCTCAGGTCACTGCTGCGGTCCCAGAACAAAGAAATACGTAAGGTCCCAAGCAGGCAGAATTGAGTTTCTGCACGCGCACACACTCTGTAGTAAAGTAGTTGTTTTCTAAACACCTCCTGTATCTGGGTGTGAGTCCTGGTGTTTGAACTCAGGGCTTGCGCTCTGGTCCCTGAGCTAGTGCTCTGCCACTTGAGGCTCAACTCTACTCCTTTTTTTTTTTTTTGGTAGTTAATTAGAGGTAAGAGTCTCATAGCCTTTTTTGCCCAGGCTAGCTTCGAACCACGTTCCTCAGGTGTTCTAAACATTTAACTACACTCTCCCACCTCCTTTAAAGAGCTACAGCCTTCAGTAACTTCTACCAGGCAGATAAAAGCGCACAATACAAACTTTGCAGAGTTTCTCCCTGTCCTTTTCTTTCTCCCCAGCTGGACCTGTAGAAGTCCCTGCAAACTCTTTTAGGAAATCTACAAGGTCAGAACTTTGCACAGCAAATACTATTTGCTTTTCTTTTTTCTTTTTTTTTTTAGAGCTGTGTTGACATTTGCATTTAAAATGGTGTAAAATTGTTATTGTTGGGGCTGAGAAGATGGCCCAGTGGTAGAGTGCATAAGGCCCTGGGTTCGATTCCTCAGCACAACATAAGCAGAAAAAGCCAGAACTGGTACTGTGGCTCAAGTGGTAGAGTGCTCGCCTTGAGCTGAAGAGCTGAGGGACAGTGCCAAGCCCAGAGTTCAGGCCCCAGGACACACCAAAAAAAAAAAAAAAAAAAAAAAACAACCAAAAACTGATACTGTTGATGGTTTGGCACGAATGAGTGAATCACGGCAGTGGCACGCAATAAGTGAATTTTGTTTTGTTTTGTTGTGCTGGTCCTGGGGCTTGAACTCAGTGCCTGAGCACTGTCCCTAAGTTTTTTGTTTTTTTTTTTTTGTGAGTCATGGGACTTGAACTCTGGGCCTGAGCGCTGTCCCTCAGCTCTTCAGCTCAAGGCTAGTGCTCTACCACTTGAGCTATAGTTAGAGGGAGTAAGAGGAGGGGTGAGGGAGAACTTGGAGGGACTTGGTGTGAAGGGGGAGATGATAACAAATGAGGTCCATTAGAAGTGACTAAAGAAGCTTGCTAGAGAGAGGGAGGGGTAGGGAAAGGTTGCCACCCCCCAACACACACACCACTGAGACTACAAAGGTACATGCAAACAACTGGCTTGCAGTGTAGTGACCTAGGCCCCAGCCCAAGGCCCAACAGGGACCTGTGAGATTGAGCAAGACCCCTGGGCCTGAGTGAAGTTGGTTAGCAAACAGGAAGCACTGAGTTTTCCCAGTGCTAACTGTGCCTGGCAAAGTTCTCCTCCTCCTCCCTCTCATCTCAGCTCCCTTAGGACACTATCCTTTGCTTCTTTGGCGCCTCCTTAGTCTGAAGCCCCTGCTGGTCTCAAGGGTTTCCCGCTTTTCCTTGTGATCCTAAGATACAGAGTAGACAGTTCAGCTGCTGTTGAAATGAACTTCTTTTTTTTTTCCCTCTGTTAAAGCCCAGGAAGCTTCCCCCACTCCTGAGAGGACAGTGGGGTCAGGGCCAGAGCCTCTCCCCTCTTTCCTTCTTGGTTTCAAATGGGCATTCCTTCACAGGAAGCAGAGGGCCCCGGGCTTGCTGGCTTTCCCTGCGGTTCATCGTAGTTTCCCACACAGCGAATCACAGCGCAGCCAGAGAGCAAGAGTCTGCAGAGCGGGCATGTTACAGACCATGAATTGAGTCTCCCCAGAACTTGTATGTTGAAGTTCTGAAATGAGGCTGTGAGGGCAGGTCCTAATCCAGTATAACATTTAACTGTGCCCCTGCTCATTTTCACTTTTTGTTCAGGAGATGGGACACCATTTGCTCTTACACCATCCTGAAAGATGCAGGGTTCAGTAAATTGATTTGAAGGTGGGAGTGTCAGGTGGCCCAGTAGTTACCAGATCTTGTAACACTGCTCAGGTATTTAGTCCTGGGCTTTGTAGATTTAGACATTTTCATACTGCTTCTAGGTAATGAATTCACTGGTTAACAAGAAGACAAGACAAGTGCTGGAGTTGGGGGGGCTACTCTAGAGGCTGAGATCTGAGGATCACAGTTCAAAGCCAGTTCGAGCAGGAAAGCCCATGAGACTCTATCTCCAATCAGCTACTAAAGGTCTAGAAGTGGAGCCGTGGCTCAAAAGTGGTAGAACATTAGCTTTGAGCAAAAAGAAGCTCAGGGACAGGACCCAGGCCCTGAGTTCAAGCCCTAGAACCAACAGAACAAAGCAAAAACAGGAAGACAAATACTCATGGTAGCTGTAGACAATTTTCAAGAGCCATGTGGAAACCAGGACAATTCCACCTTGGGAAGGCATTTTGGTTTTTTGTTTTATTTGTTGATACTAGGGCTTGAACTCAGGGCCTCAGCTCAGCTTGCTTGCTGAGCTGGTGCTCTATTACTTGATCCATGCCTCCACTAGTGCTTTTTTTTATTTTTTTGCTGGTTAATTGGAGATGAACGCTGATGGATTTTTCTACCTGGGCTGGGCTGGCTTCAGACTGTGATCCTCTGGACCTCAGCCTCCTAGTTGCTAAGCTTACAGGTGTGTGTGAGCCACTGACACCTAGCAAGACCTGTTCTGTAGAACTCAGCGCTTTCCCTCCGTTTCTTATGGAATATTGGATTTACTCTGCTCTGAGGTCCCCAGGAAACGGGCATCCGAACCCCCAATTTGTCTCAAATAGTATCTAGGCCACAGTAGGTGCTTTAAAAAAAGAAAAGGTCCCAGGAGAACAAATGATTGATTCCTTCTAGTGACTTTTATATGGGATATTCCTTCCAGATGGATCAGAAGACCTGTCAGTTACCCCAGCCTTCCAGTGCTGGAGGCAGTGTTATGGTGTGGGTCTTGAATGGCTCCCCAGGACTCATGGGGCGGGGGCTGGGCCCCAGCTGCTCTTTCTGCTAGAAGGGGGTTGAGCCTTTGAAGGTTGGAGTCTGGTGGTAAAAACACATTGGGAATGTGCCTTATGGAGGGCCTGGCTTTGGCTCTGCCTTGCTAGAGATGTGGACTGGAACTTAAAACCCAAATCAATCAGTCAACTTATTCTCTTTTGAATTACTTGTCTCAGGCCCCCCCCCCCCCCCCAGCCCAGGCTAACAGGAAGCTGAGTAACAGAAGTTGTAATCAGTATTCCTCCTTGGCTCCTCCAGACTCTTTGGGGACAGTCACCCTTCACAAGCAGTCGTCCATGCTGTGTGCCTCTGTTTTGTCTGATTTTATCTACAAAGAGGCCCCTTACCCTTACCACACACAAAGCCAGAATCCGAGGTGCGTGCTCTCTGGCAGTGTCAGCTATCAGCAACGTGTTTCCTGTAGGTTATGGCATCTCTGCACGGTATCCCCTGGCCCTGGCTCAGGATGTCTAACCCTTCTCACTTATAGCTCTCCTCACCCCTGCCCACGGACTCTGTTCTAGATCCACTAGACAAACTACCACAACCTAGACGGTGGGCCCAGTTCTGCTGGGGCTACCTTAGGCAATTGAATGGAGCCCTGTAGACTGCCCCAGGTGAGTGAGGCAGACGATATTGCCAAAACAGAGAGCAGGGGCACTCGGGCTTTAGAAGTTAAGAACAGCGAGGCAGGAAATCAGAAATTCCAGAAGTTGATTTCTAGGCAAGTGCAGAAAGCCATGGATCTCAATGGCCTGAGCGTAAGCTGTGGATGCTTACGGAACACTACAGACCAGAAACCAAGGGGCAGAGGCCAAGTGTGTGCCACCTGAAGATTCTTCCGCCAAACTAACCATTGTCTGTGGAGCCAGGTTTCCACATTGCCTTTTCCTTCCCATAATCTTTACCTACATGGCCACCATCGCTCAGCGTGAGAGTTGGGAGCAGTGGCACTCAGCTGGTCTCTGGAAGTTGATCCACAGTGTGTGTGCGCGGTCAGGTGGATGTGTGGGCACGTGGGTGGTGAACACACTTGCACGGGTACCACGCACATTCCTGGTTCCCACAGCCTTGGGTTATTCTCCCTATGATTCCCTCGCTCTGCCCAGCCACCTGCCCTGACTTATTTGCCTCCAGTGCCCTCGCTTTGCAGACTTAGCTTCTTATTAACTAAACCGTTGCACCACTCACTCTTGTAGCCTCAAATTAATTTGGGTTAATTCTTAACTGTTTCCCTTCTGTACATTTGCCGTGCCATGGTTGGCCTTTATCTGATGTTCCCCAATTTCCTGTGCATTTGCGGTTTTCTATGGGAGCTCTCGAGCCGGGGCCTCACGCAGACACACCGTATGAGTGTGGGCACTTTGCATTTTCTAGGAGACTTCTGCTGCCCAGAGTCTCATCCCGCCGATGCAGACACTCGCGCCCAGGCTTCCCCATGCTAGACGAGGAATGCCCACCCAGAGCCAATTCTCGGGGAAGAGTAGAACCGTTGATAACAGCCAGAGCCCCCAAAGAAGACTACAACAGCCAAAGGTGGGTGACATACTTCCCGGGAAAGCCTTCCAGGGTGTTTTATTTCCCATGAGTTCCTTGAAACAGAAAAGAGGGGAGAGGGTTGTTGGTTGGCAGGCCAAACTTCCTAGAGACCAAGAGTTTATCTGCTATCGACTGGCCTGTATCAGGTGTAGTGGCTGACTAATGTCTGATGAAGGGAGGGAAAAAAAGAGGGAAGGAGGGTCAGGAATTTAAAAAAACAAAAACAAAAACAGAGGGAAGGCGGGTCAGGAAGAAAAAAAAAAAACCATGGAGGTCCATGGAGACTGGGCATGGATGCAAAGGATGCACTTGTTCTTATTCAGAAATGCTGTGATGATAAAAGGTGGTGCTCTCCTGTGCGGTAGCACACTCTCACAAATACCTGGAATCCAGAAAGCAATATGCGCCACTTTGCATAGCCAACTGTTAGCAGACAGCAGAATAACATTAAACATGTCCTCTTTGGAGATGACATTCCAGATCAATCCAAGACCCCAAAATCAGATCATCTGGTCTGCATCAGTTACCAAGAACCAGTTAGAGCCTGGCTGGTGGCTCACACCTGTCATCTTAGCTACTCAGGAAGCTGTGATCTGAGGATCACAGCTCAAAGCCAGCTCAGGCAGGAAAGTCTGTGAGACTCTTACAGTTAACTACCAAAAAGCCGGAAGTAGAGCTATGTGTAACTCCAGTAATAGAATGCTAGCCTTGAACACAAAAGTGCAGAGATGACACCCAAACCCTGAGTTCAAATCCTAGCACCAGCACCAAAGGAAAAAGAAAAAGTGAATTCAAGTAATCAAGAATTTAAATTTGGGGGCTGGGAAGGTGGCTCAGTGGTAGAGTGCTTGCCTCACATGCATGAGGCTCTGGGTTCAATTCCTCAGCACCACCTAAACAGAAAAAGCTGGAAGTGGTGCTGTGGCTCAAGTGGTAGAGCACTAGCCTTGAGCTGAGGAGCTGAGGGCCAGAGCCCAGGCCCAGAGTTCAAACCCCACAATGGACAAAAAAAAAAGAATTTTAACTTTTGGTCAGCAAACAGGTGTTTTATGGATAAATACAAGCTGTTTGTGGAGGTGATAGAATGGAATAGACAGTTGTTTGGTGGGTAGTGAAGGTCAACTAATAACATCCAGTGTGCAGAATTTCCTAATATCTCAGCTTCCTAACATTGAGAGAGATTAGCTACGTGGCAATTCAGCCAATGCTCAGAGGCATTAATCATGGGTCAGTCCAGGAGGATGAAAAGGTTAAAATAGTAAACGTCTTAGTATCAGTCATTTGTTTATTTGAGATTGTGCAGCTATACAATTCAGACCCAGAAAGCCAGCTTTGAATGAAACGAATGTTATAACAGTGGAGATGAAGGGGAGTGAAACAGATGTATTTTTATAAACTCCTTAAGATGAAGATACGATTTCTTTCACAACCCAGATGGAAACCTATTTAAAAGTTCTTGGGCCGGTAGCCGGTGGCTCACACCTGTAATCCTAGCTACTCAGGAGGCTGAGATCTTAGGATCACAGTTCAAAGCCAGCCCGGGCAGGAACATCCGTGAGACTCTTTATCTCCAATAAACCACTAGAAAACCGGAAGTGGTGCTGTGGCTCAAGCAGTAGAGCACTATCCTTGAGCTGAAGAGTTCAGGGATAGCACCCAGGCCCAGAGTTCAAGCCCCACGACCGACAAAAGAAAAAGAAAAAAAAAAGAAAGTTCTTGGGTCACGTACCAGTGGCTCACGCCTGTCATCCTAGCTACTTAGGAGGCTAAAATCTGAGGGGCACAGTTCAAAGCCAGTCCAGACCAAAAAATTCTTGAGATTTTTATCTCCAACTCAAGTGTGACTCAAGTGGTAGAGTGCTAGCCTTGAACACAGAGAGGCTCAGGGACAGCACCCAGGCCCAGCGCCCAGGCCCAGAGTTGAAGCCCCAGGACTGGGAAGGAAGTGAGGGAGGGAGGAAAGAAGGAAGAAAGAGGAAGGAAGGAAAAGAAAGAAAGAAAGCTCTTAATGTTAGGCAAATTCCCTATGGTTTTGTGTTACCTTATGTAGGGGTAAATACAACACAACCTAGGAGAGAAAATAAACACATCTCCAAAGCAAATCTGTCGAAACCTCCCCTCTGTACCAGCTTTTCCAAGATTACACTAATGAAACATAGGCTTTAGTGAATTGAAGGGCTCCCCGGGTAATTGAAGTGATCACAGTCACCATGAACACAACTGTACTTAAAAACAAGCAAACACCGTTGGTAGGATAGGTAGTCAGTGGCTGGTGACTGGCAAGAGGAATACACACATAGCTGGGCATGGTGGCACACACCTAGAGTCCTAGCTACTGGGGAGGTGGAGATGAGGATGATCACAGTTTTGCCAGTGCTGACAAAACAAACTACGACACCCCATCTTAACCAATAGGGGTTGGGATGTAGTAGTGCACTCTCATCATTCCAAGTACTCAAGAAGTATAAATAGGAACATTGTAGTTCAGGCTGGCTCAGGCATAAATATGAGCCCTTGTTTGAAAAATAATGAAAGCCGAAAGGGCTGGGGACATGGCCAAAGTAATAGAGCACCTGCCTTCTAAGCACAAGGCCCTGAGCTCCACTCCAGTACTGCAAAAAAATAATAATAACAATAACAAGAATAAATAGACCATCTTAGTTGCTGTGGACTTTCTGACTGATGCTTTCTGCGTGCAAACAAACAATTTCACCTGGGGCACAACACCAGCAAGCACACTGGGCATCCAAACCCCAGCCAGAGGTCATTTGTGCCTACTTTTGACCACTTGTAGTGCTATTGATCACAAGGTTGCTTTCCTTCAAATAAAGAAAAGTAGGTTTTAAATATATTTAAGAGGAAATTTTGTCTAGAACTCCTGACAATCATCCATAATAGGCATTCTTTGGAAAATATTTTAGTAGCAAATTAATACCGAGACTATTTGAAAATGAGCTCTGGGAGACAGAGAGATGCATTAAGAGACACGGCAGAACATTTAAAGTCCACGGGAAAACCTCAGGGGTGGGGAAATCATAGTCTCAGAGTAGGGTTTGCTCTTTGTGACTTTATTTAAGAAGCAAGTTAATGTTTACACGACATTGGACTTCAAAGTGCAGGCAATAAGGAGGGAGGGAGGAAGAGGGATTAAAAGAAGAGAGAGAGAAACCGGTTCTGTGTGTTTCCTCCCTGCTCCTCCTCACCTGTGGAGAGGCTGAGGAGGGGGCGGGGAGGCCAGGCCACTGGAGGAACCAAAATAAAGGGAGAGCGTCTTATGAGGTGCAATAATGTTTTTTTTTTTTTTTATCAAACTGCAAAACTTTATTATGCTACGATACGTACTCATAACAAGTGTCTTTATTTCGTGTGTGTGTGTGTGTGTGTGTGTGTGTGTGTGTGTGCGGGTGTGTGTGTGCGTGCATGTGCTCAACCTGGGGCTTGAACTCAGGACCTGGACACTGTCCCTGAACTTCTTTTGCTCAAGGCTAGCGCTCTGCCACTTGAGCCACAGCGCCACTTCTCGCCTCTGTTTCCACTCCGTTATGGGACCCCTTTCATCTTTCTCCCCATACCATACCCCTCCTTGGCTGTCCGTGCTGCACCCTAGCTCTCCTTCCTTGGAAAACCTTCAGAGTCCTCCAGACAAGCCGTTGGGAGCCCTTCCAGCCTCCTTCCCAGGGGTCTCTGGAGCCCCTCCTCCCGCTGTGCCCCACCCTCCCCTCCATCAGGCTTCACTCTGGTGCTGCACTCAGTCACTCCTAGATGGCTAAACACAACAACTGTAACTGTGAACAAAAGAGAAAAGTAGATGGGCTGGGAAGGTGGCTCAGTGGTAGAGCGCTTGCCTTGCATGCCTGAGGCCCTGGGTTTGATTCCTCAGCACCACATAAGCAAAAAGAAAAAAGCCTGAGGTGGCGCTGTGGCTCAAGTGGTAGAGCGCTAGCCTTGAGCTGAAGAGCTGAGGGACAGCGCCCAGACCCAGAGTTCAGGCCCCACGACTGGACCCCAAAAAAAAAAAAAAAGTCCATTTACGCAGCAGAAGCTCTTCACGGAGGGCTCAGCTCACAGGAAACCCCATGCGGGGTCTGGAGATTCTGTCCCTCTGTCCGTCATGCCACGCAGTGACAGGAATTAGAGAGCTGTCTTCATCATGCTATGGAAAAGAACCAGTACCTCACTCCATCCCATTCCTGCCTCAAGTCCTTCTGCAATGTAGTCCATTTATCTGTTGGTTTTTCTTTCGTTTTTTTCTGTTGTGGTGTTAGGGCCTGAAACATCCCCCCCAAGCGCTGTGAGTGGCCTGCAGGTAGTGACAGGCTAGTAGATGCCTTCCTTAAGGGTCTTCACTTGCCTCCGGATGAAAGAATGCTTCCATAGTCTGAGTATTGTAAAGTGCTGGCTTTTCTTATTTAGTTTTTAAGAGCCAAGCTCTGGATGAAGCGCCATTGTATTTCTGGAGTGGAACACGAAAGTTGTTATACACATTGGTGCTAGCTAACCACGATGCTGAGAGGGTGTGCCACGGTTGAAAAAGGGGGTGAACAAAAGTGGGAGACACAGAAAGCAGCTCATTTCCTGGTTGTACAAAAGTGCGAGTCACGAGATGCTGGCATATTTAGCTGCTAAGAACTTGCTGGGCATGGTGCTGCGGCCTGTAACCCCAGCACTAGGGAGGCAGAGCGGAGAGGATCATCATGAGCTCCAGCCCATCCTGGACTCCACAGCCAGACCAACACAACACAACCAACAAGAGAAAAGGAGAACCGGAAAGTCACAGGGATTCCCCTGTAGTCAGTGGCTACAAGGCTCCCTGCAGATAGCAAAATCTGTCGGGGTGCTGGCCCCCTAACAGGAAACGGTGCCGTAGTTGAGCCTCTGTGATACGTTAAAACACCTCCTGGTTGCTTTTATGCCGGTGCGGTGTAAATGCTACTGTGCCGCGTTGTGTAGGAAATAATGCCAAGGGAAAAAAAGCTTTATTTGATGCAGATGTGATTTTTAGTATTTTGATTCTCAGTAGATCTGGAGGGCCGACTGTACTACACTGTCCGTTCCTTTTCCTCCGATCAGACAGCCATGGGTACCATCTGTTTTCCCCATCGGAGCAACTAGCTGGGTGGACAAGCAGAGTAAGGCAGAAGTATGTCTCCCGAGGAGAGGGGCAGCCAGGGCCCGGCTGCTCTGAGAGCCCCATTATCTTGTCTGGTGGATGAGGTCGGCCGGGCCGCACCTCAGCTGGGGACGGAGCCCGGCCTTCCCATCAGAGCTGAGTCACTGTTGCTGCTGACGTGGCTGACGTGCACTGCTCACCAGTGCCAGGCCCGCACGGTGCCGTGGCTTTGGCGCCTGGGGGACATTCCCAGTAATTCTGAGCCCCATGCTGGGAAGTCATTGCAGTGGCGCTCACCCTCACCCCTCTTCCAATTCCTGGGGAACCTGAAGACCAGATGAGAGAGGCCCTTAGATGTGGGTCTCCTCCGTGGGCAGTAAGAGTCCCGGGCGACGGGACAGAGGCCTTGGTTGTGTACACACAGGGAGTCTCTTCCCTCTCACTCCAGAAACCAGACAAGAGACCCAGATGGAGAGAGCCGGCCGGCACGATGGCATCACCATCCCATGGTGCTGGTGAGGGAACCGTGTCTCATAACCATCTTCCCCACAGAAGCTGGCAGAATTGGCGCCCTGCTTCCAGGGCAGGCCCGCAGACAGTCCCCACCACCCAGAACGCACTGCTGCAGCAGTCACTGAGCTAGTGCATGTGCACATGCCTGTGTGCGTGTGTGGGTGGTTCTAGGAAAACCTGGCATGTCCTTCCATTCCGTCCGTTCTCTGGGGCCGCTGGCTGCAAACGCATCATAGGAGGCCCAGACTGGGGCTGAGGTAGGGCCAGGAGAGTTGGGCCTTGCTCTTGTACGGTGTGAGCTGAAGAAGAAAGTTCTAAGACGCCCTGATTTGGTCCAGAGGCCGCTCTCAGGGCCCTGACCGCACGCGTGGTGAGCACGTGTCCTTGCCAAAAAGGAGCCTTCTGGGAAGGCCTGTGAGTCAGGGTCCCTGGAGACTTGGCTGGGTGACTTGAGATGAATCACCAGGTTTCCTGGTGCCCACAGACTAGATGGAGATGAAGCAGCCGCTGTCAGCAGCCTGGCAGCTCGTGACCCTTGGGGGAGTGAGCTGACGTCAGGGAAGTGTGTCGCCAACGCCTCCCCAGCCGGCCTTAGCCTTTTATGCAAGTCCATGGCCCAGCAGCAAGTCTTGATGTCTCCCTTTTGCTCTTTCTTTTCTTTCTCCTCCTAGTGGGATTTTTTTCTTTTCTTCCCCTAAGTTAAATCACTGAGGGTTCTCAATGGTGTTGAAATGAGTTGTGTTTCCCCCGCCTGCCATTCCCATTTGTAGTATCCTGTCCCTCAGCCAGATTCCTAGCAGAGCAACCTGAGCGCAGTGTAGCAAGGACTTCTCCCCCCCCCCCCCCCCCACCTCAGAGTCCCGGGTACAGACAGGGACACTGCCACCAAGAGTGAACTTCCGTGTAGAGCGGTGAGCATGGGAGGCAAGGCATTGGGATCTCCACTGGCCCATACCACGTGCCGGAACCACGTTTTCCTATAATATCGGTGAGCTATGAGAAAATCCCTCAATTAAGGTTGTGGCTACCAACCCATCATTATTTATAATGGTGTACTTCTTTATCTATTGATCTGTTGAAGTCATAGTCACTTTCAGTAAAGATTTAAAATGCCTGGATGTTATCAATGCTTGTAATTTCCACCATCCCCAAGTTTTAAAACAATGGCTCAAGTTTTACTCCATATGGTCATATAATAAATGTAATGGAAATAGTGCCTTACAAGGCAATGACTATAGATTGTAATAAGTTACTTCCGTATTCTAAAAGGAAATATCCCAAACTCACTATTATTATTACTTTTTTTGGCACCAGTCCTGGGGCTTGAACTCAGGACCTAGGCACTGTCCCTAAGCTTCTTTTGTACAAGGCTATCATCCTGTTACTTGAGCCACAGCTCCATTTCCAGTTTTTTGGTAGTTTATTGGAGAGAGGAGTCTCATGGACTTTCCTACCAGGTTGGTTTTGATCCTCAGCTTTCAGCCTCCTGAGTAGGCTAGGATTGCAGGCGTGAGTCACTGAGGCCCAGCTTCACATTCATTCTTGAGCTAAATTGCATACTGATTTCTAGCAGTAATATCATCAAGGAATAATCTAGCAGTACTTACAGCAAAAAGAAATACTTATAGCAACTTCAGAACTTAGAAGTAATCGTGTCTTCCTCTTGAAGTAATTTTTTAAAAAATAATGTCTTGCAGTGTCTTTCCTGAACCATTGCCTAAAATCCTTTCCACTACGGATTGTAAATTCAGGCTGTCTGTATGCGGAGCGAGCACATTAGTACACTCTCTCCAGAGGGCAGGGCTCTCAGCCAAAACAAGTGGCACCAGCTACCACCTCCTGTCTTCTACCCCTTCCCCGCCTTTCCCAGGCTTAAGGGGCCAGAATGGTCAGAGGAGCACAGACGTTTAGAGCTCAGACTTCACACATGGGGCCTGACCCTGTCTACCTGTCAGGAGAGTACATAAGTGTCTGATAAAAGAAAGCAGATTAAACAGGCTTCGTTTCTCCTCCCCAAGAAGTGTAGCTGGAGCCAAGAGGTAGAGCACTAGCCTTGAGCAAAAAAAGCTCAAAGACAGCACCCAGTCCCCGAGTTCAAGACCCAGGACTGGTGTGCACGCACACACACACATTGGAAGGTAAATGTGGGTTGCCAAATTCAGCAAGCATAGTCACAAGAATCCTTGACAGAGAAAGAGAGGGATGGTCTCGAGTTTAGCCAGAAATCCTGCCATCTTTACGGTGTGTCGACAAACGGTCTAAAGGTGTCACATGGCTGCCCTTCCGCTACACACCACAGGGTCACCTCTGCAATGTTGGTTACGGGAAGGGGTGAGGGAATGGGGGGGAAATTCTTACGTATTTTATTATATTGTTTTTATTTATGGGTATGTACTATTTGGGGATCTTTAAAAAGCCATTCTAATTTTAAAAGCCGTGAAAGATTAAAAAGAGAGCAGGCAGCTTGAAGCGTCATAACATGTGACTCAGTAGTGCAGGCCCTGTAGGCTCAAAGCTCCTCTCCGCCGCCCTCCCCTCCCAAGTCCCCAGTGCAGCCCATGGATTGGCTCCCCCAGACCGTTTCCTTCCAGAGCCACTAGGGGGAGCACTGTGGCCCAGGGACAGGCACGGCTTAGATAGATGGTCTTTGATGATGGAGGTGATGACCCTTCACCATGAGGCATGAAGAGCTATTTGTCTTGTGACTGTTTCTTAGCTATGATGAGGGAAAGCAAAATGGTCTTTGTTTTTTTTTTTTGGGTCCGGTCGTGGGGCCTGAACTCTGGGCCTGGGCGCTGTCCCTCAGCTCTTCAGCCACAGCGCCACTTCCGGCTTTTTTCTTTTTGCTTATGTGGTGCTGAGGAATCGAACCCAGGGCCTTGAGCATGCAAGGCAAGCGCTCTACCACTGAGCCACCTTCCCAGCCCTGGTCTTTGCTTTTAAAGCATTCTTCCCACAACATCAGATGAATCATACCACTTAAAAATCCCCTTTTGGGGGGGGGGGGGTTGGGGGGGGGAGTGGGGAGGAATGAGGGGGAACCTGTGGACCATCTAGCCTGGGAGGAGAAAAATCTAGTTCTCCAGTCTCTTAACCTCTCTGATTCTATATGTAATGGAGTTAGGCGACAGAAGCTGAGACTGATTTCCAGTGACTGATCCACTAGCTTTCCCAGGACCACTGTGAGAAACCTGCCCTCTCCTTTGAAATGGTAAAACTTGGCACCTCTCTGTGAATGGGCAGAGATGGGGTGTGGGTGAGAGGCTCCCTGGGGAAAGCCCTTTAGGCGCACCTATTGTCTCCCAGGTCACCTATTGTCCTAATTAGGGAGGCCTAGGGACATCTCCATATTTTAGTATACTAAATAACACCCACTTAGCTACCCAGAAACATTGCCTAAGGGGGGCGGGAGGCTGCTAGCCAGCCATGCCCATCTCCCCCCACCCCCCAGGAACAAAAGCAGCCCATAAAGGCTTCCATTTTGAGTCTTTAACTCCCCTTTCCCTTAAGGACAGCCAGAGAAAAGCTCTCTCTCCTTCTCTCCCCCACCCCACCTTTCTCTGTCTCTCTCTCTCTCTCCCTTCTCTCCCTCTCCACTTTAACTTGTTCATACTAAAATCCTCGCTAAAACTTTCGCCTTGTGAGGCTCACTGATTGTGAGCGACGCCTTTCACACGTGCAGCTTGAGGGCCGGTAGTTTTCCAAGGAAACCAGGAAGCTGCGGGAAGCCTGGACCACTGACACCCAAGCAAGCAAGCAGAGCGCTTAGAGAAGCCCTGGCTCAGGTGTGGTCCAGGGACCACAGGCGGGAATCCATCTCCCCACATCCCTTGAAATACCACCGAGGCCTGCACCCTGCAACGAAGAAAGCAGATGACAAGAGAGGAAGTGAGAGGTCCCCCAGAGGAACCCCTCTTCTCCCTGCTTCTGTCTTCTAGAGGGCGGGCCTTCCTGTGGGCTGTGTCCCTGGGGAGGCCTCGGTGAAGCTGTCTGGGACTGTTCCGGAAGTAGGACAGGCGGCAGGGGAGGGGAGGCGGCAGGAATGTTCTCCTGGCTGGCCGGCCGCTGGGTGCTATGAGCAGGCCTAGGGAGAGGAGGGCCTCCGGACATCAAAGGTTCCTTTTGTCCCTTGCGAGTGGCAGGGCAGCCCTGCGCTGGCAGTGACTCAGGCCAGGCCCTGACGTCACCCAGCGCCCAGCCACTGGTCTCCCTCTGCAGCCAGGAAACCGGCCGGGGAGTGGCCCTCACAGCTGCAGCTCATCTCAAAATAAGGAGACCGGCTCCCCATCTCCCCCACGGCACACCTTCCTTTGCTTTTCTTCTTCTTATCCTCCTTTTTTAAGCCTGGAGGAAGGTTTGACTTGTGTATCAACTCTCCAAATGTAGGAAGCCAGAATGAGTGACGTCACTAGCAAACTATGTGGAACTGATCTTGACCTGAAGTGAAGGACCCAGAGCCAGAGGCAGCTGTGGCCCCCCCGAGCCCAGGGAGTTGGCAGTGTCTGGGCTGCCCAGGACCCAGCATCTTCTCCGAGTAAGTGCAGGCCCACCCGTGGCCCCTCGCTCAGGCCCATACTGCGGTGCCATCTTGCTGCCTAACCCAAGGCCCACAGGCCCAGGCCAGAGGGGGGAGTGGGGCTACCCGGGAAGACCCTCTAGATTCTTCCCTAAAGGGACCTGAACTCCAAAGGACCAGAACCAACACACCCACACACATACACACGAACACAAACACACATGCGCACACACGTGCACACACACACACACACACACAGGGACACTCAGGCTGCAGCCCCGGGGTGGGGTGGGGAGTGACCCACTGGTGCCTTTTCCTGTCGACCCTCCTGTTTGTCTGTCTTTGTCTTCCTGTGCTAGTATACTTTTGCCAGCTGCCAAAAGGTTTGCTTACGGTTCTGGATGTTCACTTCCTGTAACTTCTACAGAGCAACCAGACATAAATATCAACCCCGCTCTAGACAGCATCTCAAACAGTGTAACATAGCACCCTATGCCATCCAACGGTGGTATTTTCACACTTAATTCTGGTAAGAGATGGCAGCCCTGATAGACAACTTCCCCAAGGCCTGTCCTGGTCCTTTTGCCGGCAGCGGTAGCATGATCTCATCCTCCTCTCCAGAGGGCTGGCCCATGCCGCCCTGTCCGCCATGATGTTGCGTACCACACATCAGGATGTCCCTCTCAGCTTCAGCTAAAAGCTCTGAAGGCTTTGACAAGCCCATCACATTCGGCTTGGGGACATGCCTCAAGAAATTTAAGTTCCCATAAAAACAGTATTTTTAACATGTACATAAGAACTGCAAGGCACAAAGATAAAGAATACCTCCCTTCTCCTGACTTCTGAAGGTATATGCTGAGTAAAAGTCTAGTTTTTGTATAGATTGCTGCATAGGGTACATCTGTTCTTCACAAATTCTGAATCGAAATGATTGAGGGCATACTTTAAGAGGATTTTAAAAGTAATACGCAGGTTTGTCACTTACTGGAATGTAGTGGCAAATTTGTGACGGAAAACTCTTTGAAATGAATTATACACTCTGATATATGCATTGTAGGTCTTAGGTGTTGTTGTTGTTGTTTTTAATAGGTTGGGGTATTTTGAAATGAGGTTTTGCTGTACTGACACTCTTCTTGCTGCAAGATCTGAGTGCTGTGACCACAAATGTGTGAGTGCTATTTTCCCTTTACATTTGATGTCTACTTCTACTTACTTGCTTTGTAGTAAGATTTTAAAGAAAAGGGAAAAGGGCACAGAGACTTCTACATACAGCAGTAACAACTGCATGAAAGAGAATGCATGTGGCCAGGCATGGTGGCTCACACGACAATCCAGCTACTCAGGAAGGTCTTGGTTCAAGGTCAACATTAGCAAAAAGTGACACGCCTATCCTAACTGACACGTGAGGTATGGTGGAACACACTTCTCATCTCAGAGAGGCAGAAGTAGGAGGATTAAAGTCTTGGGCTGCTCCCGGCGAAAATGTGAGACCCTACATGAAAAGCAACTAAAGCAAAAAAGCGGTGGGTGGACTGATATGTGTCTCAAAGCCCCTGCCTAGCAAGCTTAAGCTCTTGAGTTCCAACTCCAGTGCCACAGGGAAAAAAGAAGAAGAAGAAAAAGAAGGTATAACAGACCAAAATGTACAATGGCTAAAACACAATAGAAGTTTATTTCTTGCACATGTCACAGGGCAGGTCAGGGGGCAGCTGTCTCAGATGCAGAGCTGGGGCTGTAGCTTTCCTGGTATTAAGGAAGCCAGGGTTCCAGCTGCAGTGCCGCAAAAGAAAGCAGATAACAGTATCAACAAAAAATTCACACTCACATGTTGAGCTATTTACTGAATAATGTGAGGTAAAGTTATAAGCCCTTCTAGCTCAGACAGTTCTCACAGTCACCCGGGAATATCTTGACTCCTCAGTGGAAAAAGGAAAGATACTGAAAAGGAGCACTTGGGAGGTTTTTGTTTTGGTTTTGGTTTTGGTTGGTCGTGGGGCTTGAACTCTGGGCCTGAGCGCTGTCCCTCAGCTCTTCAGCTCAAGACAAAACGCTCTACCACTTGAGCTATAGCATCACTTCTGGTTTTCTGGTGGTTTATTGGAGATAAGAGTCTCACAGACTTTCCTGCCCAGGCTGGCTTTGAATCGCAATCCTCAGATCTCAGCCTCCTGAGTAGCTAGGATTACAGGCGTGAGCCACAGGTGCCCGACTTGGGAGGTATTTTATGACTGGAAAGTGTTACCATCTTCTACCTTTAGCCATTCTCATATTCTATTGGGTAAGCATCAGTCACATGCCCATGCTTAACCACAAAGCTGTCTGGGAACTATAGTTCCTGAGGGGACAGCCACTTCCCAGTAGCAACTATGGAGAGTTTGTGGAGAAGAGGTAGCTTTCTCTGGCTTAGATGTAAAGGAATTTGGACATGCTCAAAGGCAAGTGTGGCGTAGTAGAAGTATCGAGGAACCAGGTGCTGGTAGCTCTCACTTGTAATCTTAACTATGAGTCTGAGGGCTGACAATTGAAGTTCAGAGCCAGCCTAGACAGGAAAGTGCATAAGACTATTATCTCCAATCAACCACCCAACACACACACACACACACACACACACACACACACACACACACACACACACACACACACACACACACACACACACACACACACACACACACACACACACACACACACACACACACACACACACACACACACGGGTTCCCTAAACTGATAATCTAGATACCCTCTGGCCTTTCTCAGCATGCGGTTGTCCATTCTGACCCCAGGACTTGAGGTAAGCAGCTGCACGCTGCCAGCGGCCAGTGGAACAGGAAGCATAACTGGCCCCTTGCTTTCCTTCCGGGGTCCTCTTGCCCCGGGACTGTCCTGGCTTAGTCTGCTTCCTGTTCTACTTGCTCCATGTACTTCTGTTCCACATCTGTGAGCGATGCGATCCCACGATCTGTCTGCAAGCTCACCGTCTCCGTAGCTCACTCTCTGTTCCTGAGGGCTTTGGGAGACATTTCTAACTGCTACCTTGGGTCTTGGGAGACTTAGAGGGGTAAATTCCTTAAAGAGAGACCTTAAAACCAAATATTAGAGAATTGTTTAAAAGTAGCCTTAAAAAGGCCCACACCATTCCTGAAGAATTTGATGTATGATTTTGTTTTTCTGGAAAAGTCTTAAATGCTTACCAAAACAATGAAAGGTAAAGGTATAAGCCCTATTTGAAGAACCTTGTTTTATATGTGTGTAGACCTTTTTTTTTCTTCTTCTTTTTACCAGTGTTGAGTTGTATATACTTGTCTCCTCACTGGGACACTTCAGAGACTATGTGGTGGGTGCCTTAGGATGACCCCGGTTTCAACACAGTTTTCAGTCGAAGTGGAATAGTCTTCACCTGAGCTGTTAGTACCTGGTTGCCTAGTTTTACGTTAGTGGCTGGCGAAACACTGTGGTTTGGGATTAGTTGCCACTGGACTTGACACTTCTGGCACCCGCGCCCACACCGTGAAGGGCAGGCATTGTGTATTGTGAGGGAAGGCCAGTGCTGGCCAATCTCACTCATCCTCTCAAATCCCTGGAGACAGAGCTTGATGCTGGCCTCCTCTCCTAGCATGGCTGCACAGTCTCTTCCTGGGCCCCTCACATCAGGAGTGTGCTGAAAAGAGTATAAAAAACCACAGGTTGATTGGCTGCAAAAAAAATCCTTCCAAGCCGGGCGCTGGTGGCTCACCCCTGTCATCCTAGCTACTCAGGAGGCTGAAATCTGAGGATCATGGTTTAGAGTCAGCCCTGGCAGGAAAAGACTCTTATCTCCAGTGAACCACTCAGAAAACCAGAAGTGGTGCTGTGCTCAAGTGGTAGAGTGCTTGCCTTGAGCTGAAGAGCTGAGGGACAGCACCCAGGCCCAGAGTTCAAGCCCCATGACTGACAAAAATAAATAAATAAATAAAATCCTTCCACCTCTACCAGCCCCTTTTCCTGTGTTTAGTCCTGGGAACTAAAGGTTTCTCCTGACCTGGGAGGGGGGGGAAGAGGGGAGTGTCAACTGGACTAGTGGAGTTCCTCCAAGACAGATGGGGGGAATAAGTCCCAACGGCTGAAGAAACAAGAGGAGTGCACATACCAGCTTTCAAAGGCTGGAGCCAGATGAGAACTGTCTGTTGCCGGAAGTCCTGCCCAGAAGGACAGAGCCAGGGGCTGTCGTCATGAGAGGAGGGTGTCAGGGAGTTTCCTTTGGAAGCCTGGATACTTGAAGATTGTTCACCTGTGTAGCCTGCCTCACAGTGATTTGACAAGCCCCCTTCTTCCCTCCTCCCCCCCCCCCCCCGTCCTACCCCTACCTGTCTCTGGTGGCTCCATGTCCCTCCATGTCCCCACTCCTCCTCATACTGTGCTCATAACTAACTCACCTTTGGAACATAGAGCTTCTACACAGCTCTGGCCAAAGCTGTAGGGGGTCCAGGCAAACCCCGCCCCTTCCCCATGATTTCACCCAATGGGAGCATGTGCTGCTGGCTCAAGACTGCCCACTGGACCAAGCACACTGCTTCACAGGGGCTTGGTGTCTTGTCATTGCAGTCAGGAGCAACTGGGCAAACCTGGGGGCAAACCTGTTTTCCCTCACCATCTAAATAATCCCTAGCAGCTAGCCATCAGGAAAGTTGGATTAACCAGGTATCTAAGACACCCTGTCTCTGGCCTGGAGCCTGACATTTTGCTGCCACTTGACTTCAGACTTCCAAATAGAGCCCTTACGATCCTATTAGCATGACTAAAATGAAAAGGACTGATGTTACAAAATGCTGGCAGGACATAGAAAGACTGAGTCTCTTACACTGCTGGTGAGAAGATAAAATGGGGCAGCCATTCTTAGAAGTAGTTTGACAGTGTCATAAAATTAAACATGCACTTACCATGCTATCCAGCCAGCTGCTCCTGGGTATTTACCTGGGAGAAAGAAAAGCGTATGTTCACACAACAACTTGTGCATGAATGCTATGGCAGCTTCGTTGGTAATAGCAAAACACGGGAAGCCAGCCAGGTGTCATTCACCAGATGAATAGATAAGGAGCTGCAGCCCATCTCCACCCCAGAATACTATTCAGCAAACAAGCCCCGGACTGCCACAACCTGAGTGAGTCACGGGCATGAGGCTGGGGGAAAGAACGCCACGCTTAAAGGGCTCCGTGCTGCCCAGTGTCCTCTGAGTCTCCAGATTGCAGGGATGGAGAGCGGCCTGACAGCTAGACGCCAAGGGTCAGAATTAGGGGACTGCGTGATGGTGGTGATGCTTGCTGAGAACTGTATGTACATGGATAGACTTCATGAACATAGACTCACAGGGCGCCTGCAAAACCGCATGAAAATGCATGGGATCTGTGCCTGAGCTAGTAATTGTACCACGTCCATGGCTTGACTTAGACATCGTGCTATAGCTTGTAAGATATCCCTGGGAAGCTCATAGAACTCATAAATGTTATAGACCATGATAGACAATTTACTCCATGAAAGTTAGAGTGTGTTTGTGACTTTAACTAAGCATCACTATCCCACAATGCTGTGAAATTTGGGGAATTATGTCACCACTTATTCGTAATTAAAAAAATTGGAAAAAAAAGACATCACTGAGGAAATACTACATTTGCTATTACGGGTGCTAGACTTGGGGGGGGGGGTCGTGGTGGTCCTGTCCCACTTGAGCCACACCTCCAGTTTTTTCTGCTTTAGTTACATTTCAAATAGGATCTCATGCTTCGTGCTTTAGGCTGGTCTCAGACCATGGTCCTCCCATCTCTGCCTCCTGTATATAGCTGGCATTACAGACATGAACCATTGTACCTACTTTGTTCTTTGAGATAGAGTCCCACTAGCTGTTTCTCACAAACCAGCTTCAAACCACGATCCTTTTCTCTCGACCTCTGAAGTATCTGTGATTGTACGTATACACCATCATGCCTGCCATCTCAGCTATGCCAGAAGCCTAACTAACAAGACGCACAGGGAAAAAAAAAAAAGCACAAAACAATAACACAAAAGAACCCACAAGGCTGTATTTGAAGAATCATGTAAAAAAAGGTTGAGGGTTTGAGTGATTAACTACCTTCCTAGCCAAGCACAAGGCCCTGAGTTCAAACTCCAGTACTGCGAAGCTCTTAAAAAGTT